CAGTTAGATTTTCTAGAAGGACATTTATTAGGAGGTGACCTCACCAAAAACTGCAGAAATGACTATATCGTAATAAAATAATTAATTGATGTTAAATTTAGGATGCACTAGTCTAGCTGTTTCATTTGTAAACATATATCAAGGCTGCACAAACCTTATCCCCAAAATAAAAATCTGTCTGAGGGCTGCGGGGCAAATACAATAATATAATTCATGAAATACAAATACTTCTTAAGTACAGTACTTTTATTTTAATGATTATGTCCTGCTGGAGTGTGACATGATTTGTTTGTGTACAAACTAATATGGTATCAGAATTTTATATATTTAAACTTCTCATTAAACCACAATTAAATTCACTCTATCAAGGAGGTACAACTTATATGGATAGTATTTATTTTTTACAATAACAAGCTGGAATGAAAACAAGCAAAAATGATGTAAAAGTAACAACTCTTTACTTCTTGCCTGTTTTAAAAGTGTAAGGAGTAAAAAGTACAGATAACTGTGTGAAAATGTAAGAAGTAGAAGTAAAAAGTAGGCTGAAAAATAAATACTGAAGTAAAGTACAGATACCCAAAAACTCTACGTAAGTACAGTAACAAAGTATTTGTACTTAGTTACTTTACAACTCTGGTATTTTCCAGTCTGTTTTTATAATTGAAGTAAATGTTTATCAAATAATCGCTACAGTTACATCTAGTCAGAGTTCCCTTCAAGGTTCAAGCAAAGCATCTATAAATCTGTGGTCAAACACATCCAGCTAGAACTGAAGCATTTCTTTAAGGAATGGTTTTATTTTTCTTCAGTTATGGTTTCAGGGAGTTTATTCCAGCTGGTGACCAGTCTTCTGCAGTGACAGTCATTCAAACCCATCGTTGCAGATTGACTTACTTCACAAGCAGCTTGAAGAAATCCAGACGAATCGCCAGGAGTTAGTTTCCAAATATGAACAGCAGCTGCAGAAAGTCAAAGAAGAGGTGAGCTTGTTTAACGTAGATCGATTCTTTTGTTACCGCTCGTTAACGTTTCCATAAAATCCCTGTGTTTGTGTTTTTCTGTCAGCTGGATAAATTAAAGCGAAGTTACCAGAAGCTTCAGCGCAAGCAGCTCAAGGAGACAAACACAGGAGGAAAACAGACGGAGCTTTCAAAGGTCAGTTGGTTTATTGTGTGAAAGCTATCATTTTTYTTCTGTACGCTTTTCAGCATCTAACTCCTTCCATCATTTTATGCTATTTCAACAATTCATGTATCAAAATGTTCAGCTCATTTATGCCAAGGGTGCTGTGACTTTTGGTATTTCAGCTATTTTTACTTTTTCAGCTATTTCATTTTTTAGCCACATTTTTCCCATTGAAAATGAATGGAGCTGTTTTCAACACCCTTAAAATCCTTTAAAATGTTTCTAAATCTTTACAGCACCTTACACATTTTGTTCTGATTCTGCCCTTTTTCACTTTCTTGTGCTAATTCTACTTTTTTGCTAATTTTAGTATTTTTCTGTAATTTTAGCTAAAATTTGGCTTTTCTTCTGCGTTTTTTCTGTTTTTCTGCTACTTTGTGCTATTTATGTTTCTTACAGATGCTTTTTGCTATGTTCGATTATTTTCTGCTATTTTAGCTAAAGTTAGCTGTTTTAAGCTAAATACACATTTTTGGAGCTATTACAACATATTTTTGCAAAGTTCAGCAATTCCAGCTACTTTTTAACTGTTTTAAAAATTGTCACTTTTTAGTACTTTTATGCTTTTTTTCTGTAATTTTTAAACATTTTATAGCATTTTCACCATCTGGGTGTTAATTACAACTTGTGTCTGCTCCAGAGATGGGGACTCGTGCCTTGGACTTAGACTTGAGTTGCACTCAAGTCCCTACTATTAGAGACTTAGACTTGACTTGGACTCGTGGTTTCAGACTCGAACAATGCAAGTCTTTTCACTGCCCGGCTCACGATGCTCACTCTCTCAATACATCCATGCTCCCCTCACCTGAGAATGGGAGGGGCCAGCATCRTCCAATGTTAATGATGCGTACTCTACGTAACAAACAGAGCTTCAGCATGGCAGGTGTGTTGCAGTATATTCATCATAAGCTTTGCTTACAGAGACTTTATTCAACGCCATGACAAGAGACTAACAAAATGCAGTGTGTGGAGTCCAAATCAAAGATTAGTTTTTGTGATGACTTGTGCAGCCCTTTTACTTTAAGGATTCTGGTTCATCAATTTCACTGACTTGCTTTTATGCATTTAAGGATATTTTTCTGGTATTTTATTGTAAAACCAGCAGAAGACTTGTTGGATTTGTTCTTCTTCCAATGGAAGATACAATTACAGTAAGACTACAAGTGCAAAATACAGTTAACAATATGCTTGATGTTATTTCAACCTTAACTTTTTATGTATTTATAAAACAGTTTTATGTTTTAATAGTATTATTAAAATATAAAACTATGTTTTAATATTTGATTAAAATATAGTATTGTAGAATATAATCTAGTATAGTTAGAATACCTTTGATCAAACTGCCAGTTAAGTAATACATGCAACCAGACTTGGACTTGACTTGGATTTTTGATCAAAGACGTGGACTTGACTTAGACTTGCAAAAAAAGACTTGCGCACAACTCCGCTGCTACTTTTAGCTCATTTATGCTAATTTTAACTTTTTTCCTCTATAGTTGTGCTTCTTACCGCTGTTCTTCTGCTTTTTCCTACTTTCTGTGCTTTTTTTTCTGCTAAGTTGTGCTATTCATGCTTCTTACAGGTGTTTTCTGCCATTTCAACTATGTTTTTGCTCCTTTTTTACTTTTTTCTGCAAAGTTAGGCTTCCTTTGCTTCTTTCAGCTTTTCAAATTGAACTCACATTAATACTTTTGCTATTTAATATTTTCAGCTCAATTTCCACATCTTTCAGCTCAAGTTTTCAGCAGGAAGCATTCACACTATCATTTTAGCAGGAAATGCAATTTCTCTAGTCAGTGTGCATTGCCAATGCAATGCACACTATTGTTTTCCTGTTTCTCTTTATTATTATTATTCAACTTATTCCGTCTTCTTCCACGTCGCCACGCTACTCCTCCTGCATACTTTGTCCTACAGCTGCCATTGTAATTTCTATCTGTAAAGGTCCTGTGCCAAATGATTGCTATGCCTTCTGGTGCCTGTACAGTTTGTAGTTTTTGAAACGTTAATGTTTAAACTTTATTCCAAAATTCATATAATGAGAGTCAATGGGGCCTTGTAATGGTCCAATACTGCCCCCAGCTATACTCAACTTGGTACTGCACCATAGTTTTTTATACTTAATCTCAATAGTTCAGTGTTTACAATACTAATATGATTGTATTTTGATGTTTTACTATAATATTGTCTTAATACTGCTCTGTTGTTGTAATATTATGCATTTTTGTGTCAATAAATGTATTGGCAATGTGGCCTCTTTCTGCACACATACAAACCAACCCCTGCCACCACCTTCTGCCACAGCTCCATTGGTCTAATGGTCTATGTTATGGACTTTAATGTGGGAGATCAGGGTTCAAATCCTGGCTAATGCAACTTATAAAAAAATCTCTTCAAACTTCATATTGTCACACAATTACCTTAATTCTAAACACCTGCTGACGTGACAGGCACAAGCTGGTAWAGAAAACACATTTGAACTTGGTCAAAGTTCATTCTGCAAGTCCAATGCTGCAGGYAAAGCCATGCAGCAATGACATGCAACGTGGCAATGCACCCTTGTTTTTACATCGTAAAAACTCATGTCTAGTTTTATTTGTTTTCCATCATGTGTTGGTGTGGATGAATGATTGTCACACTCCTGCAGGAACACAGGGAGTGCTGCTCAGAGGTGCAGCATCTCCAAGCTCAGCTGGAGAAGACTCAGGCCGCCCTGAGCTCACAGGAGCTGGAACTGGAGCGCCTGATGGGTCGGCACCAGGAAGAACAGGTCAGCAGAACATCAGGAACACAAATCAAACAGCTGACTACTGAGCAACGCCAGCTGAAGGGTTGTCTTTGTGCATAAATATTACCCCTTAATAAATAACATCTAGGGCAATAATCTCAAAACAAATCCACCTGTAGGTGTTTTCATCTTCTTTGCAGAATTCTTTGTGATCGTGGGAAAAACAAAGCATCCTCCTTCAGCTCTAGATTTTTCTGTGTCAGTACAAAATCAAAATGATCTGGTCTTTATCAGGTTATAAAATGATTCAAATTCATTCTCAAGTCTAGAAAAACACATCACGTATTCCACTTTGTCGTCACATTAAACAAACATAAAGCCAACGTAAAAAAGCTGTTTGTGAGAACGATTTAGTTGTGATCACTGCTATAAAAGTACGAGTTATGTCCGCTTATATTCTGAGGCAAACAAATGTGTTAACACAGTGATAAAGAGGAAAAACATCAGCAATGATCTTAGAGGACCACTCCATGAGTCCATCATTCTAAAAACAKTATTCATGTGGGGAAAATATTGAAGATGGCTGCCGGTCTTCCCAGGAGTTGACGTCTCAGAAAATTCATGCTCAGAGAAATATTACAGCCAAGAGCTCGATCTCAGACTCCACAGCAGGAGTGTCAAACGTATTGTCAGCGAGGGCCATGTGAGCATTATGGTGGTCCTCAAAGGGTCAGTTGTAATTAACTTCAATGTTTCATGTTTGTTTGTTTGTTTTTAACTTGGACTAAACACGAAACRTCACGCTCCTMAAGCACTGCTAACAAACACTGAGCTCTACCTGGTATTTCCTGCWTAGAAACAGTGTTTAACATGTCCTCTTATAAACACTGMAAAGTACTGACATGTTTTGYGCAGCTGTGGTTGATGACATCATCACAACAGCAGTGTTCCTCAGAAAATTTGCAGATGAAGTTGTGAAAACTCRAGCAGGCTCTAGAGAAAAATAATTTGTCAGCGTTGTACAGATCTGTAAAACTAAAAGTGAAGGAGTTGATGAGTTTAACGGCTGGAGTGTTGAATTATTACCTGATGAAGTGGAAATCTGTTTGACAGCCGGTGTCGGGAGGACAGGCAGAGCTCCACGCCACGCTGGACTCCCAGGATGCATTTCTCCACAGAAACAGTTCGGAGCGCTACAGACTTCATAATGAAGCCTCCAGACTGAAACAACTGCTGCAGGCTAAAGATCAAGTCATCCGGTGGGTGTCTCAAATGATAACAGCAGCACAAACAGCAGGGGGCGCTCTGCTGCAGCGCTCGGAGCAGGAWGTAGTACTCACAGTGATGATGCAGACCTGTGTGTGTGTGCGCTCTGGTGTGTATGTGCAGCTCTCTGGAGGACTGCCTGGCTGCTCAGGGCTGCTCCGGAGTGGAGACCCTCAGGAAGGACTTGGAGAGGACTGCAGCCAGGCTTCAGGGTTCTCAGACCTGTGAGGTCCACCTGAAGWCTGAGCTCTCACAGCTGAGAGAGAGGTGACCGCTGCTCACGCTGCTGTAAACAAACAACAAGCAACATTTTAGGAACAAAGACTAAAGGAATGCACATCATCCACTGCATTTCAAACTAGAGCTTTTACAGAAACTGAACTAAAACTAACATTTTACTTCAGTTTCTGTAAAGTTATTCAGATGTAGAAGTACGTCCAAGGATTATTTCTTAAGAGTTTTATTAAAGTCTGTCCAGTGGTTCATGACAGATTTTGCTAAAAGAGTTGACTACAATAATTAATAATGAAATTATAAACAAAGATCCTGTGCAGTCTGTTAGGTGAGTCGGTGAGCTATGGAGATAAATTAGTCTCAAAAAGATTTGAGCGCACGCAGCTATTAGTGCGTGGATCAGTTCATCTGTCAGTTTGACTTTTGAGACTTTCATATTTTCAATGCTGTGTTCAAAGCTGGTGAAAAGCTGGAACATCTGAGCGTTACCATATTTACTGGGTTATTT